TAGCTGGAGAAATGACAATAGATGTAATTTCATGAAGGTTCTAGGCACCCCAGCCTAATCGCCCAAAATTCCTCTTTAATTTTTAATGCTTTTCTACTGCCAGTTGGTCTTAGGCGGTTAGAAGGTTGAATTTATTTTTCTGTTGAGTAAAAATGATTTTTAAATAAAGGGTAAATTAGATTTAAACAATGCATATGTTAAAATCTCGACAAAAAACACCTGGAAACATATTTTGTGTCTGGAAAAAATCACTGACAAGTTTTCCCTTTGGATTAAACATCACAGAGTTGTTTACAAAACTAAACCTTACCTTAATCCTGACGTAATATTTTTCAGCTTATTTAAAATTGAACACCTGTGTATTTGAAATGAAGACCCTGGATTGAAATGAATATAAGTCAAAAGTTAAAACCAAAAGTAATATACATTTGATATTGATATTGTCTCTTTAAGAAATTCATACATTTCTTCAAATTCTTATTTAATTTAATGTAAAATATAATTAATATTTTATGATAAAACAAAGTAATAAAATTCGGTGCCTTTGAATGTATAAGAACATGGCAAATAGGTATGTATATTTTCTTTGAATTTTAACAAACAATATTAATAACAGTAGTCCGTCAAACGATTCAGGGTAAAGATTCTGACGATATGCATTTGGTAAGGTTTCCAGAGGCATAATAGCTCCCGTATATAGGGTGCTTTTGAATGCCCCTTTGAGTAGTGGGCAGGCCAGCCTGGCTATGCTAGGAGAGCCGTTCCAGGCTGGCTAAGGAAGGTAATGTGGTCTCTCTAGGGAGGGCGCACCCCGCAGCCGCCAGGGGTAGCCCGGTCAGGGTGCTGGGGAGTCCCCCTAAGGCTTGGTTTGGTCTAGCGATCCACCCATCGTCTTGTTCCCAGCCAGGGTGGTTGCCAGGGAATTGTACCAAGACATATAACAATGCCGGACTACCAGGCACCCTCTACTAACTGCGGCCATGTCTCGCGGCTAGAGGGTGTGGGGGGGTCTTAGCTTAACCGCTTGGACCAGCATAGACAACCACCAAAACTCCAAATCCCATTTGACTATGCAATTCAGGTCAAGAATGAGTGGCTAAATAGGGAGGACTAGCCATTACTGGCCTCAACCTTTGGGCATCAGGGTCACCCCATTGTATTTCACCTCTCCAGAAGGGGCTCCCATGGGTCTGTATGACCGACTATTCATAGCCACCAAAATAAACATTAGATTCCAATGCAAACAATTCACCTGGTGAAGCTGCTGTAGCTTCCCTGAAGGACAATTGGAATACTCCATTTTATATAATATCTGTAATTAGATCAGGCCCTGATCGCACCAGTGTGCGTGTAGCTTTGAACAAGAGAGTTAATTTTACCATCTCACGTAAAGGAAATAACATTCTTATTAACGTCCATGCAAGCTATTCTGTTTAGCGATATCTCTATTACGCTGTTTACTGTTATTTCATGTGGAGTTTTGGTTAGGGAAATTTGACTTCCTCGTTTGCACATCGTCATACAAAACAATTTTCGCACCAAACAGTACAAAGATTTCATTCGTATACCTAGGAGCACTGTATATCCGGTGCTAGCAATCTATGCTTCCAACCGGCCCTTTTATTACTCCTAGGATCGTGGAATGCTGGCACTCCATTTATGGCCGAAGTTTATCTGTGGGTAACCCAAACTATTTTATTTTATTTAAAATATTTATTGCTGAACTGCTGGCTGTAGGATTATATTCTTAAATTATATTAAATTATATTACCTTGAGGTAATATCCCAAAACAGGGACAAAAAATGCCAAGGTATTCAGAAATATCCCTCAATAAAACAAATAAACCACTCATTTATTTTATTTGATTGTCTATACTTTCACTTCTTAATTAAAATTAAGAAAATCCCTTCCAAAGTACTGGAGCAAAATTTTAGTTCATTCTTTATTAAAATTTTATTTTTATTAATAGTAATATTTTAAGAACCAAATTTCTTATTATAATTCCATTACCATTTTAATTCCACCACTACTTATCAGTGGGTGTCACTGTTAAAAAAGGGAGCTTAGCACACTTCACAAATATTTTTAAAATATTTTATTATTTATTTTACTACATTACTTAATAATTAATGAAGCATTTTTTCAAATATTAGTTAATTTTTATTCATAGTTGTTATTTATATGCTTAACTATTATAATAATAATTGCCACTTCTGACTTATGTTTTATTTTAGACATGAGTTAGATTTTTTCCATGATTAGATTAGGTAAATCCGGCATGACATTAGTTGTCTAATTTCTGCTTTAAACCAAAGTTAGAAAATGGATAACCAAAAGAAGTAGTAACGTGATAAACAATTATATTATTGATAATGTAACAAATATCCTATAAAAATCGTCATGAATATTTTATGGTATATTTGTAAACAAACAATGTCAAATGCCTTTTATAATCCTACATTAACACTTTTGGAATAAGTTTAAGAATCACAAACATGAAATTTTGAGTTTCAAAACATTGAATTTAATTCTATTTCTTTTTATGGAGCAGCATTTTAAAAATAGTTGAGAAAATACCTGCCTAAATTTGATAGGCAAGTCACAACAGTTTATAATTTTATTTATTGGAACTGATTCTAAAAGTTAAGGTTTTAACGATTGCTAATGAATTTCTGGAACGTTTTATCTCAGATTAAAATTTCGCCAAAAATATTCAAGAATCTCGTAAAGAATATTTGGATGAATGAAAACGCACAAAAATTCCGAAATTCGGATGCATGGATGGAAATTACGCTTTAGTCCTAAATATTAATTGTATTTCTTTAGTATAGCAATGTATGCTTAGAAGCTTAGCTTTGGTCAATTTTAAATTTCTATTTATTTTGCAACTTATTTCAATATTTTATTTTTAAAAATTATTTTTATAATTATTATTTAATTTCTCTATTTTTTTTTTTTTTTTTTTTTTTTTGAAAATAACAGTTTAAAATATATTCCAAAAATAGCAAAATTATATTTATATTTCAAAAAAAAAAATATTTCTTCAAAAAAAATCGGGATTTTTCCCAATTGAAGAGAAACAACGAAAGAGAATGTCGACATTTTATAATAAATGTATCTTCTATATCTATAAAATGTTCTTTATCAAGCCGTACTGAGAGCACTTTGAAGAGTTCTTTTTCCTTTTTCTTTTTGATTTTTCTCTTTTTTTTTTTTTTTTTTTTGTTCGTTAGGGAAATCTGTTTTACTAGTGTAGCTTTAGATGTTGGTTCCGTCGATTCAGCTTTAAAGGGTACATTTTTTTATTTTGTTTTTTTTTTTTTTTTTTAATATTATTTCAACAAATGAACCCCGATACAATGGTGGTATAAAAGTATATTTCATTACTATTGTTGGTGCCTTGGAAGATGCATTAATAGGATCGTATGAAGGTGTGCGTAAATTAAAAAATCTGAAAATTGCAGGACATCATTAGTTTGGAGAAGAATACTTCTAAATACACTTACTAATTCAAGTTGAACGATGCAAGTTTAACCCACATGGTTTAAGTTAAAGTGCAAAAGCATTTCTATCACTTTGTCGTTAATATTTCTGCCATTGTTTCTATTGGAAACGAAGATCGCTGGCATAGGAGTGGGTATATTATAATGCTAACTGCTACATGATATAAATTGAATGTGATGAGAATATATAAATAAAGCAGTACAGGGAATTAACGGATCTGTGATGACAGGCAATTTTTAGTCGTATTAACTTATTTAGTTGCAAAAGTAAAACAATACATTGGTTATGTATCAATCGGCTGACTATTTGATTGCATGCCGGCATGGTTCCATAAGAATACATTTTCATAGTTATAAATCTGCATGGAATGGGAATTCTACAACAGTCTAAGACACTAGAAAAAGTTCTACTGAAAATTGCCTGTCAGCGCATTTAAAAAAAGTAGTTGACCAATATAATAATAAAATGCATCGAAAAACAAATAAAATTGGTCAGTCACCTGTGTCCATCCCATACAAGTTAGGAAGTGGCGGTGCGGTGTAGTTGTAGCTGCCTCCAATTCCTCTATTCCAATTTATACTCAGAAGCTATCTTCCAAGAGGCTCTGGAGGATGTGGAAATGGGAGTCAAAATTAACGGAGTGTGGATTAATAACATCCGCTACGCCGACGATAAGGTCTTGATTGCAGATAATATACACGATCTACAACAACTGCTCAACAAGGTAGGAAAACAGAGCAAAGCAATGAGTTTAAACATAAACAAACATAAAAAACCAATTGCGATAATTCCAGAAAAACACAATACGTTATTAAATTCCATTCTAACATTTTTAACTCAAGGGCCATAGAAAGAGTAGATCAATTTAAGTACTTGGGCATCTGGTTCTCCGAAGATTGGACATCAAACAAGGAAATTAAATGTCGCATCGAACAAGCTCGGCAGGTATTCCTGAAATTTCGAAAAGTACTTGTCTGTTTTGATTTTGACCTTAACCTTAGATTGAGATTCGTAAAGTGTTACGTGTGATTAATTAATTGATATTGAATGTCTAGTTTTGAAGCCAATTTTAATAATATCGCCTCTAAAAAAATCTGGAAACATTTAGCCAAAATAAAATGAAAACTAGCTTCCACTTCTCACGAAAGTATGAATATTCTGATTATTTCTACTGAAAATTTGCATCCTCACATTTATTATCCGTCCACTGGTACTGCAAATCAGTCTTGATCTTCAAGCACATCACAAGGGCAAAGGAAAAGCAAATGAAAAAAAAAAAAAATAAAAATACATATATATATGTAATAATGATACACTCCTAGGACATACGCACGTTATCATAACTTTAGAGCTAATCTTCATTCCATGAGGGATGGTGATGATAAAGCAAAAAATATCAGGAAAAGCTTACTCACTCTGTACAAGACTGGAAAGTTCTACCACTGCCACTGAAAGTACAAATTTAGAAGTTTATTGTGATCTCATAATATAGTATAGTGTTTAGTGTAGTATGTTATATATTTGGGCATAATTAATCACAAATATGAAGTTGATTACTCAGGTATTTCTTAAATTATAACGAGTTAAAAAAACTAAAGAACGGATGATAAATATACTACAATAATAATATAAATAAAAAAAATACTTATCAGTATTTCTATTCTTTTAATTTTTAGAAAATAAAAGTCATCTGGAAGAGAATTAGAATTGCCAATTTTATCTCCTATGTTAATGAAGAAGCATTTTAAATCAAATGTAATGATTTTAAAACAAAATACCATTACTTAGAACCTTTAATGTGTGATCAAAAATATCTTTAAAACTAAAATAGTAGTAAAAACAGTTCCTATAAAGGTGTCTTACATAGAATTGCAGCATAAAGTAAGCAATAACAAAATTGGCCCCAGCACTAAGTATGTACCTTTAAATAGCTATATATACATTTAGAATAAATTAGTTATCGAAAGTTAATTCATTGATGTTAAGCAAACTATAGTCGTAACCATTAAAATGTGGAACTTCTTTTAACATTAAATTTTATTCTGTTTCTGCTGTTATAAGTTAGGGTTTCCAGTCTGAATGATGCAAATATTTTCCACAACTCAAAAACTTTAAAGTAAATGCTAGAAAAATCTATACCTGAACTAAGTACAGGGTGGGGGCCAAACTTGGATCGCTTTCAAAATGGAAACAACCCTTTCTATAGGAGATAATTCAAAACTAATGTCGGTGTCTGAGCTCAATTTTTGTCAAAACATGATGGTATAGAAAAACCGCATATAGATATTCCAGCTACCGTTTAAGAGTTATGGGGTGTTTTTCAAAAATGTGTATTTCTGCCAAATTGTTAGGCCCCTTGCTGGAAAATGTTGTGTTTTAAGAAAAATACCTAAAGCAATCTTTTATTTGTAGAAATTTTATTTGTTTACATATATTTTTAAATTTTAGTAATTCCTTGTGTTCTGTCAACAGAAAATTTGATTTTTGTATGGGACACCGTGAAGGCATTTACCTATTGAAAAGAATTTAAAATTACCTTTCCAAATATATAGCACACTTGACATTTTTTTAAACAAAAAAAAAAAGATAGAAAATAAAAAATTCGCCCACTTCTAAATAGGTTTTGAACGACGGGGTGGCGCTGGTTGTAATGCAAAAAATTTTAGCTATGCACCTAACAAACGAAAATAATATTTGCAATGAGATGTGTGAATTCTGGCAACAATTTAAAAATATATCAATTCAACATCAACACATTATTTAAACTATATCTAATAACAATAAAATAAATAGCAAACTGAGACATGAGATTTTGACAGGCAGGTGTTCTGAAATGCAGATTGGTCAGTTTTGAACACTCTGCGGATTCATTAACTCGAAGTGGGGGTGACATAATTTCATAATTTTTTTGTAATTTAAAACAGTTCAAGCATGATATTATTTTACGGACAATTTAAAAATAAAACGTTTGTTCAAGATATCCTATAGGGATTAGATCCATAACCATGAGCATCGAGTCCGGAAAATTCTGACGGGCCAACGCTGTCCTGGTTAGTTAATCAATTATTCTTGAAATTAATGCAAAATTTTGTTGATAACTTCAGCTTTCAAAGGCGGTGCTGTTGTCTTACTGGAAAAATATATTTTCGAGTCCACTTATATATCATCATTGCGGGTGTACTAAAGTCAATTAGTTAAAAGGTTATGAACTTTTAAAATCTTTATTCTGAAGGGGACTGTAACAAAATATCAAAGCAGCTATATTTTGAAAGGTAATTTAAGTTCTCGGTTAATTGAAAATATACATTAAACTATACAAAAAAAAAAATTTTCTGTTGATAACTCCTTAATTTTTGTGTTTAAATTATTAATTTAAAGAAAACTATACTATACTTTTTGCCATATATTTTAAATCTCTGAATCTCTACGTAAAAAGGTGCTTGCAAATATTTCATGCAAATTTTCCATAGCCAAAAAGTTACAGCAATTTGTAAAAAATGCACATTTTTGAAACACACCCCGTAACTCCGAAACGGTAACAGATATTGATGTGCGGTTTTCACCATAATGTTTTTGATGAAAATTGAGCTCCAGACACCGATATTAGTTTTTGTCTATCTCCTATAGAAAAGGGTGTTTCCTTTTAAAAGCGTTCAACTTGACCCACCCTGTACAGGGTTGCTTCATTGTGGAACTTTGCTTTCTTTTAGAATAAAATGAATTTAGATCTTAATAAAAATCCTCCTCAACCATACATTTTTGTGCCATTATTTCCAAATTTTGGAAGGGAAGCTCAAGAAATGTGGTTGGATAAATTGAGATTAGTTATACCATTCCCGCGTAAAATGTTTTGTGCAATCTGACTAGTCTTCATTAGGCATTTTGCAAAGCGACTGAAAACAGATAGGCCCTATGTAAAGTATCCTTCTTTTGTTAAAAACGTTGGCGTTGTATAATATGCCTAGTCTTTTTGCATAATGCGACATATACATAAAATATACTAATATTCAATATTAAATTCATTTTTAATAAAAAAATGTATTAAATTGAGATATTATTGCTAATAAGTTTTTGTAACTTTTTAATAAAATTAGGTTCTACGTGAATCAATAATAATTATAGTTATTGATATAAAATTGGTTTTAATTAATAATAAATTAAAAATGTAATACATATTCTTAAAATTCTTTAAATTGATTAATAGATTGTGAGTGTAATATAAATAAATTATTACAACTAAACTTTAAATTTTTATAATATACGATTCAGCTTATACAGAACACTTCACTATCATAGTCAATATTTACTTATTAAAAATGACACCATATGTTTAATTAATGAAGCAATGACTTAATGACAGAATTAAATAAATAATAAATGTCAAGAATCATTATCCTTTCCTGACTCGGGCAGAGTAAAAAAACACTTCATAACATATTATTATTTTTTGTAATATTATTAGGTCTTAAGTAAATTTTAATATAATATTCAATTTTTAATTCCATTAAGCATGATAATTTGTTATAATCATTTGAATTAAATTATTTTAGTAAAATTAATGGTTATTCATTTGGCCACCTATCAAAATTTTATGTTTTAATACGAATAACCTGTGTTTAATTAAATATGAAACCAAACAGGTTTTTGCACCTGTTTGGTTAAAAAAATAAAAATCTGCCATTTATTATATCCATTTTGCGGATAAAAATTAAAACAAATTTTATTATTTTTGGAAGAATAAAGTAGTAATATTATCATACATAACTTATGAAGGAATGAATTTTTTGAAGCTTATTTGTCGTTTGATGGGTATAACGACTAATTTTTATGTAATTAATGTATTTAAAAAAAAGTATAATACATTTAATGCCCGCTAATTTTAAAATTTATTTATTAATAATGCAAACTATTTTTTTTGTTAAAATTAGAGGTAGTTGGCACGCTACAAATACAGGGTGGCGCACCTCATTCGCCTCGGTTGATTATACGAAAACAGAAAGTAGAAACTAATAAGAAAATAATTTTTTATGGGTATATGTAGAGAGGCAATGTGCATAATTTTAAAATTATTTTCAAATGCACAGGGTGTGTCAGAACTAAGATCCATACCAAAGATATATCTTTTCTTATGGAACACCTGGTATTTTATTTCATTTTTGAATTCTTGAGAATAAAATAAGGCCTTTATTATAAGGGTATGTTTAAATGCTTTGGTTTTGAGACATTTAAAGATATTTAAATATTCATGCGATAATAAAAAAGTTTGTCATCACCCTGTACATTACTTTTCAGAGTTAATTCTAGTGCTGATTTTGAAGCCAGGAAAATAAACTTTACTAAAAAAAAATATTGCTTTCTTAAATTTATACAGGGGTATCAAAAATTGCTGGTCTATTTTAAATATTTATTTTACATAAAAACTTTGTTATTTCAAATACAGGGTGTTTAGAAAGAAGAAAAAACATAACTTTGGTATGGATCTTAGATCTGACACTCCCTGTACATTTCAAAATAATTTTAAATTATGCACATTGCCTTCTCACATGTAATAAACAAACCCATAAAATATTTTGTTTCTACATCTTTCCGTTTTCGTATAATCAACCGAGGCGAATGAGGTGCACCACCCTGTATATTAAATTATTATATTATAAAGCGTTTGATTTAAAGCATACATTTTTTAAAATCATGGTAAGCCTAAAATAGTTTTTATTATTACTACAACTTTTGATTTTTAAATAGCACCCTCGGTATATTTTTACTTTATTCGATAGGAAATGACACTTTGAATCTCCCTTTGAATAGAATGACAATATATAGAGGTATGTAGATATATGTGAAATTTTTACATTTTTGCTTAAAAAAATCGTGTTTTAAATTTCAATCTAGAGTGCGATGGCTGTGTTAAAAACACTAATTTTTAATCCAGGAGCCTTGAAAAAATAGATTTGATCTTTTAGTGTTTTTCTTGTCTTGTCCTGACCTGTTAAAAGATGCCCAAATAACTTTTTTAATCATATTTCATTTTTTTCAACTAAATCAACGTGGCTCATTAGCATATTTGGAAAATGCATATTTTACGAATAATTTATTGGTACCATACACTTGGTATTTCGAGTCAAATTATCGTTATGAACAGCATGTTACAATTTCAAATAAACCATATGCGAAAATAACAAAAGTTGACATATAATATTTCATTCCAAGGAGTGTTTAGGCAAAATGAGGAATAAAGCAAAAAAAATACTGAAGGTGTCATTTGAAAAGGTTTTTTCGTGTCATTTGGAAGTCAAAAGTTGTAATTATTTTTGGTCAAACAGGAAGTGACCGTAAATAATTCAATACGCTAATCAATCCTAATTTGTGTCATATACTAATATACAAAATCTCGTTTTTTTGTCTGAAAAAATAAAAAAGTTATAGGTGTGAAATACTTTTGAGACGCACCCGGTATAATACTGGGTTTAATTATATTATACCATCCTGGACACTTCATCTGCGTTGTCTCTATTTTAATGCATGCGACAGAGATAAATATAAATGACCGGTTGATAGACAGAGAGACAAAATAAAAAGCGGCACAAAGTATTGTCGGTTTTTACGTGTGTAGACAAAAATAAACTATTTTAAAAACTTTCATAGATACTACTGAAATGATGATAATATATCTAAGCTAAATATAATCTATTAGTGCGGTAGTAAAATGAGTAACTAATTTTCAAAAACAAAGTTCCAACCGTAGATGCAACATCTTTCGTAAAAATTTTGATGCAAAATCCGTCAATACCGCATAGAAGAAATATATCAACCCAACTTTAATCTCTTTTTAATACATTTTATTTTTCATTAAGTTGTCTACATCACCGTCTTACACGTTAAAATCCAGACCGCGCAGTTTTAATGACCAGATCCGTATATCTGTTGGTTCAAAAAACCTCTCTCCATATCTAAAAATAACTCATCAATTGTCAAGTCGTCACACTGAAACCGAAAGTGCTAATAGCAAAAAATAGTTTCAAGTCTATCATCACAAAAGTATTTTTCTTTTATTTGTTTAACTAAAAATTCTTTTTTTTTTCGTTTGAGTAGCGATTGAACTTGGAATAAAATTATAATAAATTAAGGATTTGCTTTGAATTATGTAATAAACCGCAAGAAGATTTTTGCGATATTTTCCGAAAACAAATCAAACATATTCGAATATTTAAATAATTAAGTAAACAGGTGTTAGCAGATCATTAAGATTATTATTAATTTAATGAATAAGGTAGTGAAGACGACTAATAAGAAATCGGATTAAACATTTGTATAACGTAATGAAAACAGCATGCTTAATTAATGCTTTTAATCTCTTTTCAATATATCAGACTATTAAATAGAGTTTGAATAAAGTTGTTTTTTTAAGTATGCTTTTATTTGAACTATTAGCATATCAAGTCATAAAGATGACAATCATTACAATAAAACTCTCATATTACCTGTAGAAGAATTCGAAATGTCATATTAAATTACAGTAACTATAAAGAAACAATGGACATAAGAATTTTATTTAGATCATAAATTTTATAGATGTTATTTAATGATATTATTGTACTCCTCTAATAGATCACGATTTATTACAAAAATTCACATAAAATTATTTTTTCTTATGCTAAAAGAGTACTGGTAAATGAGAATGGTACGGTCCTTGCAATATTTCAAGGAATATCATCTTATCAGTTCAAAATTAAAATTGATATAAAAATGTTTGTTTCAGGTTGTTATTACATTCTTCTTGGTTACGTTAGGTTCAAGTCAAAAGAAAAGCGACGAAGATAGCCCTTACGAATTTGGATTTACTATTGATGGAGAACAGCATAGGCATGAGAAGAAAGGTATTTTTATTACTGGGATAAGTTAATGTACAGTGTATCCAATTATTATTTTTGTTAGAATTATTTAGTGTCATGACATTTTTTATCATGATTTCTATTTTTTTTCTCTAGTTTCTTAGTTACTTTTCTTTCTACCTTGTTATTAGTTTTAATATTTGTTACTAGTTTTAATATTCTTAAAGAACTATTTTTGAATCACAAAACATCCTTCTTTACAACATTTTCCTTAATGATAATAACAAAATTTTAATGATAAAAAAATGATCGCAAAATTTAACTTTAATTTCCTTAATGGAAATAAAAGTTAAATTTTGCGAACAGTTATCAGAGGCGCTACCAATCAGTATAGTATCAATGGTTGACGTACGGGGTCGCCCTTGTTTCTTAATTGAACATTAGTTCACAAATATTAATTTGGTTTTAAAATTTGTCAATATTTTTATTCCGTCGTATTTTCTGAATATTCGGTATGAAATTTTGACTATTTTTTTTTAATTATTATTATATTTATATTTTTTTATCAAGTAGGCCATTAAAATACTTATGATATTTTTAATTCCTATTTAAATTACAATGGTCTGTTTTGATTGAGAACTCAATCTGCAAAGAAATGTAGCCTTCCTAATCTGGTTGTGAATTATTTTTTAGTTTTTCAAATCCCCGAAAATTAGATACATTTCTTTTTCTAAAATTCTAATTTAATCAAAAAAGGAATGTAATGTAATGTAATTTAATCAATTCCGTTTATTTTTATGGTATATCTATTTCGTTACAACAAAAACTATATCAGTAATATTATAAAAAATAATTATGGGCTGAATATTAATTTACGATTTTAGTGCCGGAACAAGCTGAAGAGCGCGCTCTTTTTCTCTCATTTAATGACATGTAACATGCAAGTCAAAGTTATAAAGGGGACTGTTTCAAATTTACCAACTTGACAGTTGTCACATGAGATCTGTCAAAATAATGTTCTGTTATTTCACATGCTGAATTGAAACGTTTTTTCGATAATACCACTTTTTTCAATTTGATGCAAACTTTTAAGAACATATACCGGGTGCGTCTCAAAAGTACCAACGTTACAACCCCTATAACTTTACTATTTTTTTCAGATAAAAAAAACGAGATTTGGTATGTTAGTATATGACATAAATTAGGATTAATTGACGTATTCAATTGTTTTTGGTCGCTTCCTGTTTCACCAGAAACGACTATAACTTTTGATTTTTAAATGCCACCCTCGGCATTTTTTTACTTTATTCGATAGAAAATAACATTCTGAATAGAATGACATATCATATGTCAACTTTTAACATTTTCGTTTAAGAAAAAATTGTATTTTAAATTTCAATCTAGAGTGCCATGGCTATGTTAAAAACATTAATTCTTAATCAAGGAGCCTTGGAAAAATAGATTTGATCGTCTAATGTTTTAAGTGTCTTATCTGGGCCGGTTAAAAAATTCTCAAATCGTATTTTTAATCATAACTCATTTTTTTCAAATGGAATGAGGGTGGCTCATTAGCATATTTGGAAAAAGCATTTTTTACGAATAATTTGATACCACACACTTGGTATTTCGAGTCTACTTTTCGTTACGAACCGCAAGTTATAATTTCAAATAAACTATATGCGAAATTGTCAAAAGTTGACATATGATATGTCATTCTATTCAGAGTGTTATTTTCTATCGAATAAAGTAAGAAAATACCGAGGGTGCCTTTTAAAAATCAAAAGTTGTTGTCATTTCCGGTGAAACAGGAAGTGATCGAAAACAATTGAATACTTCAATCAATTTTAATTTATGTCGTATACTAACATACCAAATTTCGTTTTTTTAACTGAAAAATTAAAAATGTTATAGGGGTGAGCCACTTTGAGACGCACCTGGTATATTAACATAGTTGCATAGTCAACTTAACTGGTATACTCTCATTATTGTTAGTAAATAAAAAAGAAAATGTTGTTTTTCACAAACTATAGACGAATGATAATTAAGGTTTTTAACAACAATATACAGGGTGAATCTTAAATAAAAAATAAAAAATCTTAAATAAACATATTTTCTCTTTACCGTTTTTAAATAAATCCAAAATACCCGAGTTATTTTACTTTGAAAATTTCTAAAAAAATTTTGAGAAACACTCTAATGCGTTCATGTGTAGATCTTTTCTGGGTTTTCTTTTTGTAAATTTAATCTACTACCTACGTTGTGGCTTTGACGGCGTTTTTTTCGATCATACATGGTATAAAATTAATTTTGCTTTTTGTCTTACACCAAACAAAGAAGAAGAAAACCTCAATCATGCTGTTCATTAATCAAAAAAATCAGCAATTGTTATTAATTGTCTTATAAGACCAGGTCACACTTATACCGTGGCGTAAAAACATTTTCCCGATCAAGTTTTCCGAGCACGCAGACCAAAACCCATTGTGGCCCCTTTTCCCGTTTAAAAAGGAAAACATCGAAATCTTTTCAGGCCGCTCCACGAACAAAGGCATTAAAAAATCAATATTAACTCAATGCAGAAAGGCCGGCTGCCGATGACTGCGGAACGCGGTATAAAAGCGCCACGTAAAGTGATTGTTCCATTTGGAAAATATCATAAAAGGCTTTCTTTGTCGCTCTTTTTAATATTTCCCTTCTCGATCTGTTCGGGTTCAGTAGGTTATTTGTGTCGGGCATAATAGCGGGTTGAATACGCTTTCGACGTTGTGCTTTTGATACAGTTATTTTGCGGTTTTTTTGTATCATTTTTGTGGCAGATTATAATATAATATTTGTTAGAAAAAAATACTATACCTACACTAATAATTTTGTTAGTTTATGATGTTTTTTGTGGGTCTCTATTATTTTTGTTGAAAATTAATAAAGACTGTAGGAGAAAATATTGATTTTGATTTTGTTTCTGTTTATTTAGGCATTATTTATACTACATACATAACTTACTCGCTGACGAGTATTTGACATTTGACACGCATCAGAAGATAGTCACGCAAGGCGTTTTCTTTCATGAGCTTTTTCTGTGACTGAAAACCCGATACGTGATGTTATCTGCCTACCGCACTCCGGACATTCAAAATCTCATTGCTTTGTTGCCTCTTTGCCTTTTGGTTGTCGCTGTTAACTGAGTTTACAATACCTATCCATGGAGTTCTATTGTGAGCTGTTTCTTCCCACACATTCTGCATATTAATCCCCTTTATGTTTCGTGTAAAATGTCTTGTTTTTCTTTTGAGTTGTCCACCCGACCTCCTCTTACCGTCTACAAGCTCACCGTAGCAAAAGATTTTGGTATGCGGTTTTCTTGCATTCAGCATACGTGACCAGCCCATCATAAGTGGGATTTGTAAACCAATACTCCTCGCAGTTAGCTTTTGGACCGATACGTTTGAGATAAGGACCGATACGTTTGAGACATGATGGAACCATCGGATTCTTAAGAGTTGTCTAAGATATCTCTGTTGCAACTTGTTTAATGCGTTCATGTGTCGGCGGTATGGCACCCAGGTTTCGCTTCCATATAACATGATGGGGATTATATCATCTCCACCAGGTATTATTTATATACTCTTGAAGAGAGAATATAAATGTATGATATAGCCTCCCTACCATATTTAGATAATCTCTTTGCAGTTGGGCACATTATTATCCCTGATAATTTTCTAATATCATGGTCCCATCTCAGGTCTGGTCTTCTTCTAGGTCTCTTAATTCCTCGTTGGTACCATACAGTAATGGTCCATTTGTTGTCCATTCTACTTGCCAAATGTCCTGCCCATTGTCACTTGTGGAATTTGATTCTGTGGATGACATCTATTACCTGGCTCTTTTGTCGTATCCACTCTATTCTTTTACGGTCTTTTTGGTTATTCTTAGCATATTTAGTTCCACTCAGCGTTGTGCGACCTGTAGTTTCCTTATAATGTTCGTTTTAAGTGTCCAGGTTTCGCATGCATAGATCATGAATATAATATAATATCAATGAATATTATAATTCGCATCAATGAATATAATATAATGGGACGGACATATACCTCCTAAAATTTCAATCATTTTTGTTGGTTAGGTAAATTTGTTTATGAGTAAAAATCCATTAATAAGCTAGATCCCTTCTATGAAAACTTAAAAGTTTACGTTAATCCCCAATTCAAGTAGCATAAAGTATTATTCAAGCATATCGGTTTAGAATTTACCACTATTTGTCAAAAAAAAATGTCAATTGAGAATCATTTTTCGTCTCAAAAGTATTTATCAATTCTATAGGTTTATACCTATAAGGAATTTCATCAATCGTTAAGTCCAAGCCAACTTGACGCCGTTTTTTATCATATGGTATATTCAGGGTTTAATCTATATATGCAATACGATATATTCGCGTAGTATTGACTATAAGTGACATTTGGGATTGATATTTTAATAATTATAACAGTTTCAAATGGAGAAAATGATGAAAACCGGAGTTAAAGGTTGCATTAAAGTTCAGCTGGAATAATTATTATATCTTAATTTATTTAGTATTTTAAAAACAGCTTTTATAAATTTATTAGATATAAAGTGTTGTTATTGTACTAGGGTATAAAAATGTGCCATATTTTCCATTTTTTTTCTAATAAAACACAATATTAGAAACACTATAATAAATATCTGTTAATAAAGAGTGATACTATAGCATGACTTAATTTTATAAAGCCTAGTACAGATCCAGACTAACGCTTCATACAGAACTTCGCAATTAGTGGAATAAATTAGTGATTTCAATTAGTGTAAAAGTTTGTTCCTTTAATTTCAATGTCAGCATTCAGAACGTCAAAATTAGTGGTAGACGTTTTCAATTAATAGAAAAAATTATCAAACTTTTAACTTTTCCACTAATTATACTTCAAAATTTGCAAGAGAAATATAATTTTCGAATTCGACTATTTTCCGTCAAGAAAAATTGTGGTTAGAAATCAAAAGTTGATTGTTTTATAAGCTAAATATTAGGCTTTCTCTATGGATACAACTATATAATATACAACGATTATCACGTATGGCGCAGTTGCCTGGTGGCATAAAGCCAACCAGACAACGGCAAAGAATAAACTGTCAAAATTACAACGACAAGCATGCTTAGCGGTGACTGGTGCCTTTCATTCTACGCCGTCAAAAGCCATGGAAACCCTACTCGACTTACCTCCTCTTTAAATTCTTTTGGAGAGAGAGGCGAGATGGGCTACATATAGGTTTCTAAATATGGCACGAGAGAGCCAAGGAACAATCATGTTCATACAAAACCGACTAGTAGACGAACTACAATCAGATGAGATTCTGGGAATGGTCTCGGATCTCACACCACCAATCCAACTCTGGATGCGCACCTACAACGTCCTGTTTCCGAATAGGGACGAATGGGATAAGCCGAGAAACGGCTTATTACTTGCGGAAATGTGTTGGCACACGGACGGATCCAAAAACGATAAAGGATCTGGCGCAGGAATTTACTGCAGCAGTCCAAAGACTGAGATCTACCACAGTCTTGGAAAACACACCACAATTTTCCAAGCTGAGCTATATGCGGTTGAAACCTGCGTGCAACTGCTGGTAGAATAGCAATACACCGGGAAAACAATAAGCATATTTTCGGATAGTCAAGCCGCGTTGAAAGCACTTGAGGCAACGAAAAGCACGCCCAGGGCGATTCTTCATTGTAAGAAACTACTCAATATATTAGAAGATGGAAACGAAGCGTCGCTAATATGGATACCGGGACATGTCGGCCTAGAGGGAAATGAACGTGCTGATTCCCTCGCCAGAACTGGTGCAGGCTCGCCATTCGTGGGCCCAGAAGCGACACACTTAGTGTACCAAATAATCTCGCAAGAGACAGGCTCTGTGAATGGGTTAGGAGCGAGACGCTTCGGGACTGGTATGACATTCCCGGAATGGAAAATGTCAAGACAATCCTAGCAGGGCCATCCAAACGTAGAACAGGTGAACTCCTAAAGGCTGGTAGGAACGGAGCGCGTACGCTTACTGCAGTATACAAGGGCCCCTGCCGGCTGAGATCACACCTACAGAGGATGGGACTGGTGGAAGATGCCGAATGCCGACTCTGTATGGAAGGTGACGAAACAATGAAGCACGTATGTGTACCTGTCCCGCTGGGGGCAGGACCAGGTTTGAGATGTTTAGCAAACCCACGCTAGACCTATCAGACCTAGAAGACATATCACCCTCGGACATAGCGGCCTATGTTAAAAGGCTGGGTCTTGAGGGTGAACTTTAATGCTCTTTTCCTATTAAAGAGCTTGTATAAACTGAACCACAATAGGCCCTCGCGGCCTCAGTGGAGGGTTCCACCTGGGATCCACTCTTAGTAAAATACAAAATACAATGGATACAACTACCGACTAACGCAAGCTGTTGCCAGGATGTTCTATTAACTTTAAATGTGTTTTTTAAACATTGTGAATGATCGTATACTAAAAAGTATAAAGTGTAAAGCTTCATTCAGAACTTCGAAAACAGTGGAATAAATTAGTAGTTTCAATTAGCCGTAGAAGTTAGGTTAATTTTAATGTAAGCATTCAGAACATCATAATTAGTGGTAGTAATTTTCAATTAGTGAAAAAAGGTAACAATCTTTTGACTTTTCCACTAATTATACTTCAAAATTTGCGAGAAATGTCATTTTGGCCTTTGATTATCAGCCGTCAAGAAAAATTTTGGTTAGAAATCAAAAGTTAATAATTGTTTTATAAGCTAAATATTATGCTTTCTCTATGGATACAACAGTTTTTTAGACATTGTCAATGATTGTAAACTAAAAAGTATAAAGTGTAATTAAAACCACTAATTTATTCCACTAACTGAGAGGTTCTGAATGAAGTTTTACAATTAAACATGCATATAAAAGTCGTTTAGAAACATGCTTATATACCCGCAAACAAGAATCTTATAACCCAGACAAAATTGCAAACTAGTAATATAAAATGCTTTCCAAAATAAGAGCTCATGTGAGAAATTATTAATAAGGTAAATAAGGAGGTTTTCAAACAAATGTTATTTTTTGTTTGCAAGCAAATTAGTCAAAACAGTAGTTTTCGGGCAAATTTATGGACGTAGGTCTAACAAGCTTAATGACTATGGCTTAAGGACTGTCAACTAGGTTTAATGAAAAAAAAATATTTGAAAATGCTCACTAAATGTGAAAAACTATTGCAAAATAGGATCTTTAGTATTCAAAGTACGGTTTTTTCATTTCAAAGTGCAAATTCTTGTATTCCTTTTTAACTTGCAAATTACAAAGTCTGTGTTCTAAGTAATGACTTATTAATATTCCACACAAATCTCCACTTTCAAAAACAATATTTAAAGTCCCCAACTGCTTAAATAACATGAAAAAATCTTTTGTTTCAGATGAAAAAGGAATTATTCAGGGCGAATTCGGATTTATAACCGCTGATGGAATCTATCACGTGACAGTGTACGCCACAGATGAGAATGGAAATTTCAAAATTTTAAGCATGAGGAATCTACGAATTAGTGCATGCTTATTTAAAAATAAGAACTAATCATCAATAATAAAAGATCGAAAAAATTTAAAAATTATGTTCAAAAGTTAATGATAATGTATATGTATGCCCTAGTAAAACTAAAAAAACTAGACCAAACCATACTTATTCGTGTTTCTTAAAATTGTAAAACTACCATTACAAAGTCTTCTAATGGACCTTGTGTCAAATGAGATGAATTAACCTGTTGTGATTTCCTATGTGTATGGATGTAGTAGTGGCCAGATCTCTGCATTTGCTGCTTGTCAGTGTGTTGGCTCCATGAGGAGGCCACAATGAAAGCATTCATTGACTGATGCCACAGGTCGACTGCTGCATGTTTAAGAGAACACGAATATGTGGTTTGGTCTGGCGGATTTTTAATAGAGACATACCCATTATCATTAACTTTGAGCATATTTTAGGGCCTCGATCTTTGTATTGATGATCCAGTTCTTCGATTTTTAAGCTGCTTGCGATGCCGCTAATTCATGGAATTTGAGAATTCATTACTCATGCTGTCTGTGTTCATTCCAGCTTCGCTTTCATCTGAAACAAGATTTTTCATGTTATTAAACAGTGAAAACTTAAATATTGTTTTTGAGAGAAGATGAAGGAGATGAATATATAGTCATTACTTAGAATTTACAACTTTTGTTACAAAAGAGGTACGCAAAATGAAAAAGAACAATACTAAAAGATCCTGACACATGCATTTAGTGAGCATTTTCAAATATTTTTTTCATTAAACACCAGCAGTCATTAAGCTGTTATCGATCCCCTTGAAGCTACTGTTTTGCTATTTGCTGCAAGCTGCTTTGATTGAAAACTGTGTGGGCTACTCACATGGCTGCTGTTGAAGCACACTGGTTGCAATTTTGTCTGGAGCCTGGGTGCTTGTTGCACAGTGCCTGCTGTTTCTGCTGCATGTTTGGTATGGAAACTTCATTCAGGGAATCTCAGTTGAATGGAGAAACCAGTGGTTTTATTACACTTGCTACTGTACAATCATTGACAATGTCTAAAAAACTGTTGTATCTTGGCATAAAACAATTATTAACTTTTGATTTCTAACAAGAGGTACGACGGCTGATGTCAGGCCAACTGCAAATTTGGTATATTGTGAGTCGGGTGACCGCACCGCTGGTGGTACCGCAGTATGTGTTTGCGGATGCTTACGTGGAACCTTCTGCGGCTGGTGGGCCCATTCACTGTTTTTCGAGAAGTTCTGAATGAGCTTTGCTATGCTGCACGGTATGCGATCATTCTGTGTTTAAGAGCATATTTGGTTAATGGGCCCGTCTGGCAGCGCTTTAGATTGGTCGGCCAGTTGTCCATTGACGCTGATTTTGGAAGTGGATCCCAGTGAACCTGAAGACGCAGTACCGGACTAGAGCTGTAGGAAAGGCATTAAAGACCCCGGCTGCTGTATGAGCAGAAGAATGATAACTGCAGACCTGATAGTGCGATGAGTTTTGCTTAGGCGCAGCCTGGTCACCCCCAGCGGGTTTTGACTACATGCGTGTGTTTCGTCTCCAGAGGCATTCGGCATCTTCCAAACAGGCTCGTGGCGAGACAGCCTCTTGCGGCCAGGCGGCTGCGCTCCTCCGGCTGCTGGGAGTGCTACGGATGGCCTGCTGGGGTGACATTTTCCCATTCGGAGGTAAACTGCGAAACTGAGGTATTGTTGCACTAAGTGTCAATAAACTCTGAACCTGGCTGTTTGAGGGATTGCTTCCCTCTGGTTAAAACATCCCGGCATCCCATTGGCACCTGCGTTCCGTATGACAGTTTCTGATAATCTTCCTGGGCATAACTCAAATGCTGACATTCTTGTGCTTATTGTTCGGTGTGCTGACTACGCCGGCAGTTGCACTGATTTCAACCACTGCTCGGCTTGGAGAAGTGATTGTTTTCAGACGTGGTAGATCTCTTGGACTAACACTTCACTGCTTCTTTTTGTAACGCATTTCCGCGAAATGGCAGAACAACCGACATCCCCATTAGTCCCCTGTTCGGAAGCAGATTACTCCAGTGCGTCGGACTGAATGACGGTAATGAGATCGAGACCATTGATAACCGGACTATACTACTAGTCGGTTTTGTAACATGATTGTTCGCAACCATTAACCTGTTAGAAACCCATCTCTATCTCAAAAGAAATTTAAGAAGATCGGCAGAATGACTTTGACTGGCATGCGCTTTCAATCGCTAAGCGCTCTTTGTCGTTGACATTGATAACGGTTGGCTTGCTCTTTGTTTCTTTATACGTAATGGGCCGGCCTGGTTGTATCGCCAGAAAGCTAACTCAACATAAACATATCGGCACGATTTCTAACACAGGCGGAAAATGGTCGAGCCGAAATTGCTTGCAGAGGCACGGTATGACAGTGGAAAGTTAAAGAGAGACTGCAGTAGTGAAACGTCTGCACGGCGTTAAACGACATTAGTAAAAGGAACAAACTTTGCATAATTGAAATCGCGGTATTCCGCTGGCGAAGTTCTGTATGAAACGCCAGTCTGCACAGGCTTTATAAGAGCAAGTCGTACTTATAGTATCTTCTTGTCAGATATTTGTGGTGTTTCTAATGATGGTGACCAAACTGGCACATTTACCCTAGTCGCTTTTTATATCTGATAATTGCCAAAGCTGTTTTTAAAGCTGCTAAGAAAATTGGGCCTATAACAACCATTCCAGCTGGTATGCAACAGCACAACTTTCGGTTTTCATCCATTTGGCTTGTTTTGTAAAATATCGTCCCAAATATCGCCTACGCAGTATAAACATTGCATATATAGGTAAACCTGAGCTCCTTACTACCATATGATAAAAAAACGGCGTCAGGGTGGCTTGAACAACATTGATGAAATTCCTTAGTACAAACCTGCAGAAATTGATAAATACTGAGCGAAAAAATATTCTCAGTGGCTGCGACAAACGAATGTTGAAATTAAACCGGCTTAATAACGGAAATATTTTTGCTCTGCACGGAAACCAGAGATAACGCTCAAGCACAGATTTTCATGAGAATACGACAATGATTTTTTTTCGCAAACTCATTGCAACAGCTAAGCGAATTGGCCAAGTACCCCGTAATATTCATTGATGCGGAGTATAAATTCTTTGATATATTACTATTCATAGATCTGCTCTGCAATGAATAATC